GCTACTGTCACTGCTATCGCTGCTGTCACTACTGTCACTGCTATCACTACTGTCGCTGCTGTCACTGCTATCACTGCTGTCGCTGCTATCACTGCTATCACTGCTACCGCCACTGTCACTGCTATCGCTACTGTCATTACTGTCACTGCTATCGCTACTGTCACTGCTGTCACTACTATCACTGCTGGTACTGCTGTCGCTGCTATCGCTATTGTCACCACTGTCATTGCTATCACTGCTCTCACTATTGTCAGTACTATCTGAGGTACTCTCAGAGTCACCATTGTCTTCATCCCCATCATTACCATCTTCATTACTGTCACTATCATTACTATCTGATGTGCCATTACTGTCAGCATCATCTCCTCCTTCTGAGTCACTCTCATTGTCATTGCCATTATCTTCTGATTCATCAGAATTTTCAGAAGCATCTCCTTGACTACTGTTGTTATTGTCACTCTCAGAATTGGCATTATCATTGCCATTAGACTCATCACTGCTATTGGGGTCATCTCCTTGCATGGACTCATCATCAAAAGCATAACTGTCAGATCCATCACTATTACTGTCACTGCCGATTTCGCTGTGTCCAACCTTATTTCCAGATTCTGATATCTGGCCTGGTAATTGCATGCTGTCAGCTTCTCCATGGGTCCTGACATTTCCTTTGCCGATGACCACTCCAGGTTGTCCTTTACTCTCTTTCTCATCGTTGGTAATATTATTTCTATTGTTATTGCTAGGACCTCCAATGTCTATTTCCTATGGGGCAAGGGAAAAACAAATGACAAATCAGTAAATGTTTTCTTGCAAAATTTCACTGTTTGATGGACACCAACTAGGGACAGTATCTAGAAAAACATCACTTTAGCTGAGTTTATTTGTGGAAATGTGCTTTGTTCAGTACTTGAAAGTCTTTTGTAAGAATTCATCCACACCTGACTAATAGAAACTGTTATAATTATCCAATGCAAACACAATTAGCATAAGACTTTTTCTAGAATTATAATAAATTATTTTCAGAAATATTTTGTTTTCAAGACTGTTCAATACCAAAATCTAGTAGTGACTCTATCTTTCATATTTAAATATTCAAGTAATTTGCATGCAAAACACACATAGTACATGGGTACTTGTCATTTATTTGTAAGTTTACCACCAGTTAGGAGCTGGAGGTTAAACAGCATTGGGAAAAATCAATTTTACAAACTGACAGCATTGGGAAAAATCAGTTTTACAAACTAACCTTAACTTGACTCTTTACAACAGCGCTTGGCTGTGATTCTTCAGGGACTCCATTTTCCACATTCTTGCTTTCTCTGTGATTGAGTTCTTTGGTGTTCTCTATTCTTTGATGATCGTTTTCTTCTGAAATACTGCCAGCCTCTTCCTCACTCTTGGAGAGGTTATCAGAACGGTTACTGTTAGTAGTATGAGAAGCATCATCATCATCTTCAGTACTAATTGAATTTTGATCTAAACTATTGTCAGTGCCATCTTCGTTTCCATTGTCCTGACCGTTCTGGCCATTGCTATTATCAGCACCCTCTTTTCCATGTTCCGTTTCTTCATCTTCATCTCCAGAGCCCTGGTCTTCATCTTCATCTGCTCCATTCCCACTAGGACTCCCATCAGAACCATCCAAGCCAGTATCTTCTCCATTGCTCGTTCCACTTGTCCCTAGAGTGACCTCAGCTTCCTTATTCCCATTGATCTCTCCTTCTTGCTGAGGTGTCACTCCATCTGTGTGTCCCTCGTTTCCACAGGAATTCACGTTTATTTCATCCTCATAGTCTGTACTATTATTGCTTCCAGCCATTTGATTTCCATCTTCAGGGCTAACAGTGGTACCCTCACACTGAGTGGTATATCCTATATCTCCACTTTTCTCAGCAGTATTTCCATTACTGTTGCTCACAGTTACTGCTCCAGCACCATCAATGATGTTTACTTTTCCTCTGATGCCATTTAATGTGGCGCTGTCATCATTTCCATATATTGCATCATAACCGTATGTTTCAGGCTTTCCTGTGTCCCCATTTCCATCCCCAGTGTTCACCTCTTCATTTGATAGCACAGAGTGTGTGTAAGAACCCTTTCCTACTACTTCTAGACACTCAGATCCAGGAGTCTCTCCATTGCAACTCTTTTTGTTATACGGTTGTGTTCCTCTTTCCCTTTCGTGCACAGGGACACCATTTTCATTGATGGTGTCATTGGCATTAAAATCACCCTGAAAAAGGAGCAACAATTCAAGATAAATTGTGGCTATCAGCTATATCAGCTTGAAGTAAAGCAAACAAATATTGGGTAATAGTTTGGGTAAGTTAGTGGAATTAAAACAAAATTAGGACATAGTCTATACCTGTATTGGCACATTTGATTTTGCTAGTGCATATAAATTCAAAGATTTGTCAACAGCATTTCTCTCCAAAGGTTTAGTTTGAGGAACCTGCCAAAACAAAAATACTTCAAAATGAAAAACTATTTACACACACCCAATATAAGACAGAGGCCAACATGCAATCTAATTAGATTGAGGAAGAGGTTCTTCACCGGTTTTAAACCAGGCATATGGATATTTTTCAAAATATTCACTTTGAAACTATATTTCATTTCAATGAAATATTGACCACACCACTTACTGAATTGTAGAAGGGGAAACATCATTTTTAAAGAAAAGGAGGGTAGACATTTGGTGTTCCTGTACAAGGAGGCTCTCCCAATAGTACACTCCTGCATACAGTGGTAGGTGTGACCAGAAAAAGGGCAGAAACCAAATTAAGAATTATGCCATTCCTTGCTCTCCAAGAGAAAATGTACAACTACTTACATACGAAATGTTTCACATTATGAATATACATAACCCCTCTCACTCATCAACTATCACCTTGTCCAACATTTCACATTTATAACAATAGTAAAAAATCTACTATCCACTATTTTGTCATTAATGACAGATTCTGAGAGTAACTAATGCTGAGGGGGCAAGAGGAAAGAAATACTGAGTGTTTAAAGTCATGTGTCAATTTGCCTGAGCCAGACTTCTCAGTGCTTTGGAAGTTAGGATGTAATCACGTATTTTGTGGTCATCCTCGATTTTCGTATAATACCAATTTTCACAGCCTTCTGTATGGATTGTAAATCAATGTAAAGAAACTTGAAATCCTCACAGCTGGACTGATGGACAGCATCATGATAAGTGGAGAAAAGATTGAATTTGTCAAGAATTTCATTTTACTTGGATACACCATCAATGCTCATGAAAGCATCATTCAAGAAATGAAACAACATATTGCATTGGAAAAATCTGTTGCACAAGACCTCTTTAAAGTGTGAAGAAAAAAATAAAGTCTTGAATAGCCAAGATGTCACTTTGAGGACTAACATGCACCCACTCAAGCCAGGGCATTTTCATTCACCTCATAGGCATGTGAAATTTGGGCAATGGATAAGGGAGACCAAAGAAGATTTAATGCATTTGAATTATGGTGTTGGCTAAGAATATTGAATGACAGTGGACTGTCGTATGAACCAACAAAGCTGTACTGGAGGATGTAAAACTAGAATGGTCCTTAAAAGCAAGGATGGCTAGACTTCATCTCATGTACTTCAGACATTTATCGTGAAAAAAAAAAAAAGAACTTCGTGTTTGGCAAAGTAGTGGGTCAGTGGAAAAGAGGAAGACAGTCAAAAAGAGGGATTGATACTGTGGCTACAACAATGGGCTAAAACATAATAACAATGGCGAAGATGGCACAGAGCCCAGCAGTCTGCCATTCGGTCATATGTAGGATCGCTATGAGATAGAACTGGCCTACCAGCACTATATCCACATAACAGTCTAGTTTGGGGAACCTAACAGTGTTGGTAAGTGAGGAGTGGGTGTAGACAAAAATGTTAACCATGGAAGCTGACCAATAAACCCACAAGTCTTATTTTATTTTATCTGCACTTGCCAGTATATTCCAACTTTTCCACATTGGAAAATTTTACCATTACTTTTACAAAGAGATATGCACAATGTCTCTATAAGGGAAACAATGCTATTTTCATATATTGGAAAATGAACCCTACTTTTTCTTATAATTCTTTCTTTACAACTTCCTGAACAATTGAGGCTTCATTAATATTACAATGAAATTCATAAACCATGAAGTAAAGATGGACAAAGCCTCCTTAACTTTTGAACATTGGATGTAAATTTATATGAGTGAATTTTTAAAGTAAGAATCCTTCTAATAAGACATGAGTTACAAATGGAAGAAAGAAAATAGGAATTGGATGGAAAATGTGCTTTTGAGATCCTAAAGATATCTTTGTAAGGTCTTTCATGCAAATAAGTTTAGCTAAAAAATCTAAAGAGGAACAATTATTTAAAACTAAGTTAAATATCACAAGAAGATTTTTTTTTTAGGAAGACATACTTACTGGAATGGCCCACGCTGCTGCCCAAATGCAAAAATATATTATTATCTTCATATTCTTTAAGAATATTCATCAATGGCTAATAAAAAGAAGACAGGACAAAATTACTTAGAAAGCAGAAAACAGTGAACACATTGTTTGGGTCTATATGCATTTTCCCTATTCCGTGGCAAGAAGTAGACATCCAACATGAGCACTCTGCCAGCTGCAGTGTCCCAGAGGAGACAGGAGCGGTCATGGAGACTCCCGGGCATGACTGCAGTTTCCCTCAGGTTTTCTGCTTGGGCCAGTGAAGACACACAACCACTGTGCAAAAGTACAACCATTACACAAAAGACATAGCCGTAATCTTGTTCTTCTGCTGTTCCTTATATTAATAACATCTCTCTTAATCAAGTACTCACTGATTCTACGAAGATTAGCTTGTAACTCCAACCAAAACCCACACCAACTGAACTATACTAAAATGTAAAGGAAGGAAATTACTAATGTAAGGGAACTTAGGGATCAGAGAAACCATGATTCAAATTGTAGCTTCAATATTTGCTGTGTGATATTTAAAATTTTTAAATGATATTTATTTTTAAGCCTTTGTTTCTCCATTTAGAATGATTATATTCCCTGCACTTCAGTGTTATGTGAGTTTTGGCAGAAGAATCTTCTCTGGAAAGCTTTATCTGGCTCCATTTTTAAAGATGTTTGGTGTGTCTCTTCTTTGACACTCAACAAGCTCTGAATACCTACCTCATTGGCAGCACATTGCATTGCTGAAAGTTGCCAGGTAATTTATATGTTGCCCTGCACTTCTGTGAGTTCCTGGGACCCAAATAGATTCTATTAAGGCCCAATCATATAAAATATAATGATTGTTATATTCCAATGAATAGTACAGGACATTTTTCAAATGTTGTTGAGTACTTATCAGTATCAGCAGTGCCTAGCACATTTTTGGAGTCTTTGCACGATATAAACATGTTCAGCAGCTAACCAAAAGTTTCAAAGTTCAAATCTCTCCAGAGCACCTCAAGAAAGCAGCCTCCTGACCTACTTCTCATGGGGCGCTAACAATCATGAGTAAGAGAAGCAAGTGTTCTGAAATTGATTGTGGTGATGATTGCACAACTCTCTTTAATATAATTGGACAATTAAATTGTATGATATGTGAAGCGTATGCCAATAAAACTTCTTTTTATAATCCGAAGTATTGAAAACCGTGTGGAGCATCGTTCTACTCCCACATACATGGGGTCACCGTGAATTGGAGTTGACTCAAAGGCAAGTTTTATAACCACAGTTGTGAGTATTTGGGAAAAGCTTGGTGGCTTAGTGGTTACCCATCGGGCTGCGATCCGAAAGGTCAGCAGTTTGACAACACATGCCTTTTGACGGGATAAAGATGAGGCTTTCTACCTAAAGAGTGCAATCTCAGACACCGATAGGAGCAGGTCTACCCTGTCCTATAGGAAATCATGAGTCGAATCCACTCCATGTCAGTGAGTGTATGGGTTTGGGGTACTTGGTAAAATAGGGTTGTTTTGAGTAAGCACCAATGAATGGCAGTGAGTTTAATTCTTTAGTTTTATACTAATGATATCCATTATTAGTTAGGAGTTCTAAAAGCATGGTCCTAAATCCCGGTTAGGGATTCAGAAACAGTCCAATAACTATTTATTTCAATACTTTAAAATAAATGTTATATACTGTAATCCGTGTAAATAAATAATCAACTTGACCACAATGGGTTGCATTTTTTGATGTTTCCAAAGCTGCTGGAGGGTGGGAGATCAGTAGGGGGGTGGGGGGGTTGCTTACTTTTGCTGCTGTTCATCAGAAATCTAGGAACAAGCAGACCTGTTCATATATACTGTAGATTAAAAGTGAAGCTGATCTGACCCCTGAATTAGGGTAATGTAGAACTCTGTGAATAGACGCTGAGGATAGCTGTGCAGTAAGTGTTATACTGTGGTTAGCTGGATCAACCCCAACTACCGCAGACTCTGCAGAAAGTTAGTCTGAACTGTGATCTGGAGGGGCTACTACCTGAAACGGAGGCCAGAGTTAGACACATTCCATTTCTATACTGCCCTCTTGCAAGCTGACCATTCCATTCCAGAACCTTTCCAAATTGATGCTTTCATTGTTTGCAAAGGCAGGTAAATGTCTTGTAAGACTATAAGTGAAAAGGCCTACATTGTGCCAGTCTAGAAACAGAATTTCATGATCCCCCTTCAGTGTCATTTATTTATTGTCACAAATAAGAGATTTAGCAATTGCCAAATTAAGCAGGAAAAGCAAAGCTTACTTTAGGTCCAAATATTTGTTTGTTTGTTTTTAAATATGAAAACCCCAAGTGGAATTTTACTTTGAGTCATCAAATGGCTATTTGAGCTAATAAGGCAACCAATTGGCTATCAAATGTCCACTTCAACTTGCTAATTTTTTAATGGCATGTTTTTCTTGTCCCAAATTTATCAAAATACAATAAGAGGGAAAAGGAGTGTGACACCGTCTGAATCTCTAGGTAACCCGAGTAGAAGTTCTTCAATCCAGCTTTAAAACTAAGGAAGTCAAGTGGCAAATATTGTAATTCCTTAGATAAACATTGACTCTTTTTCTACATATATTTCAGGGGCCAGGAAATGTAGTGACCACTGAGGTTCAGTCTGCAAACGGGCAATAAACTTTGCCTTCATGGGCTTATAAATGAGTGCATCAGCCAGTCTTTGAAATAAAGGGAATATCCTGTGCTAGATCTCATTTCTAAATTAATGAGGCTAAAATGCAGCTTAGAGGAGATGCACATTCTGGATAAAAAGTAAGTTGTCGTGAACCATGCATAAAATATGTTAATCACACATTATGCTGTTAATATTTCAGATTTTAAATATTTACTCCATCTTACTTACATGTTTCTGACTGACTATATCTAACTGATATTTTAACATGCTGACTGTGGGAGGGATGCATTTCCATTCTTTAGTGATTCAATATGAAAAAATCATACCTTGTCACATAATTATCCATTATGTTTTAATACTGCTTCTTAATTTAAAAGTCACAAGGGAAGAAAAAAATATCTAATTATTTCTCAAAATCAAGGTGACTTCTGACTGAATTTCAAATTTCTTCCCAGAGGAATCAGATGGTCCTGAGCAAAGAGCATGTCCAGCTTACCTTACCAGCCAGCCTTTAGAGAGACTTTGAAGATCCACAATGTCTTATTTTTCTCTTTGAAGACAGAGAGTGGCACACTGTCCTGGACTCTTGCGTGACAATTTTGTACCTGCCGAAATTTAAAGTCATTTGATAATTTTCCCAACCAATCACTGTTTAGGATCCCTGATAGTGGGTTACAAAGTGTCACCGTGTCTATGAAGCACATAATAATGTCCCCCCACTTCCTTCATTTGCTGCTATGTATTTGCTCATGGAATCATTCTGCTCCAAAGGAGCTAGACTTACTTTCACTTAATTAAACAGTTCTTGGGAGTCTGGTTTGCATCGTAAATATAGAGGATCAATGTAACTAATCTGAAAAGAGCCACTTAAACTCTGTCACCCTGACATTTCTTGTCTTGCTAAGGTTGGCAATCTAGGAAAACTCTAGGTTTCTTTAGTAAATAAGTCTGCCTGTTTAAGACCCCTATCATTCCTGAGGTAGGCATTAAAATCTCTGTGCTATAATTCAAGAAACTGTCCACTTGAAAGAGTCTTGACTTTGCCGGAGGGATCTTTAACAATCCATAAACAGACACTCCCATGAAGCCTCTCGGATGTAAACAAACAATGACACAAAATTTTTTAAATCTATGAAGTTAGTACTCAAATGTTTAAAGCAAGTATTCAAAATTTCCAAGCTTATTTCTGAGAGTAACCACATATGCAAACGTGTATACAGATAATTGAGTCGGCTCTCAGCTGTGTCAGCTCTGGAGTAAAATAATGGGAATGGAAAGCCAGACCATAACTCTATCAGAGAGCTCTGACATATGAACGCACCAATCTCGTGAAGGCTGGGTAGAGGCTGTAAGGTGGACAATCCCAAAACCATTTCTCCTATTTATGAGTTCAAAACCCTGACAATCATCTCTTCATGAATTTTTTAAAATGCTATAATAAAGATGTAAATCATGTGAGCCCATGGATACTAACACCCAGCATTTATATGTAAGACTATCGTAGGGAAAGCAATTTGCTTGTACGACAGTAGAAAGAATGAGAAGAGAGTCCCCCTTAAGCTGTGCTTTCATAGCAAAATATATATATTTTAATATTTTGACAGCATATTTATTTATTCCAGGGCTGGAAGAGAGGGCCACCTAAACTAAAAGGAGTCTTCATAACATAATACTGGTGGTCTTAACATGCAACATACAGAAAAGAAAAGACTTCAAAGGTATTCACCTGGGGAAGGAAGAGGTGAAACTATTGTTATTCACAGATGATATGATTTTATATATGGAAAATCCTAAAAGCTCCAAAAGGGGAGTACTAGAAGCAACAGAGGAATATGGCAGGATACAAGATCAACAAACAGAAGTCTATCAGACTGTTATACACATCAGACGAGCCCACAGAAGAGGGGATCAAAAAGGTGGTACCCTTCACAATAGTCAAGCACACATTGAAACATCTAGGGCTATAACCAACTAAAAATAGAACAGATTTGTACGAGGAAAATTACAGAACCCTATTACAAGAAACCAAGAGTGGCCTCCACAAATGGAAGAATATCCCATGCTCGTGGATTGGAAGACTCAATATAGTAAAAATGTCAGTTCTGCCTAAGGCACTATATAAGTTTAATGCTTTCCTGATGCAGATACCATCATCTTTCTTCAAAGAATTGGAAAAACTGACTACCAACTTCAGTTGGAGAGAGAAGAAGCCCAGAATTAGCAAAGAACTCCTCACGTAGATGGACAGAGTGGGAGGGCTTGCTTCACGTGACTTTAGCACCTATTATACAGCCACAGTGGTCAAAACCGCATGGAATTGGTATCATGACAGATACTCAGACCAATGGAAAAGAACTGAAAACCCAGAAATAAAATCATCAGCATACAGACAACTGATCTTTGATAATGGCTCCAAAAATATCAAATGGGAAGCACATACCCTCTTCAACAAATGGTGCTGGAAAAAATGGATATCTACCTGCAGAAAAATGAAGCAATACCCTTCCCTCATTCCATGCATAAGAATAAACTCAGGGTGGATCACAGATCTTCAGGTAAAACCCCAAACTATTAGAGCCATCAATGAGGGAATTGGGACAAACCTGAGAATTTTGCCACAGGGAAACCATAGACTATCAGAAATAGGGAAGGACAGATGAGGCACAAATTGACAAGTGGGATATACTGAAGATAAAACACCTGTGTACATAGAAAGAATTCACCAAGTGAGTAATAAGAGAGCCCACAGACTGGGAAAACATCTTTAGCAATGACACATCAGACAAAGGCCTTATCACTAAAATCTACAGTACTCTGCTAGCTTCCAAAAAGAAAAAAAATAATTGTCCAATGAGAAGGTGGGCAAATGACCTGAACAGGAGTTTCATAAGGGCAGAATTCTGAATGACTAATAAACATATCAGAAAATGTTCCAAATCATTAGCCATAAGAGACATGCAAATTAAAACAACAAAGAGATACCACCTAACACCCTCAAAGATGACCCAACTCAAAAATTCAGAAAGCAACCAGTGTAGGAGGGGCTGTGGGGAGATAGGAACTATCATCCACTGCTGGTGGACCTCTAGGAATGTACTGCCATTATGGAAATTGATTTGAAAATATCTAAAACAGATGAAAATCGAGCTACCATATGACCCAGCAATCCCTCTACTGGACATATACCCAGAAGAGGAAAGAAACAAACCACGGCCAGACATCTGTGCTCCAATGTTCATCGCAGCAGAGTTCACAATTGCAAGGAGTTGGAAACAACCCAAATTTCCATCAACGGATGAATGGATTAAAAAATGGTGGTACATACATACAACTAAGTACTATGCATCCCTAATAAGCAGTGATAAACGCATGAAGGGCATCACTACATGGGAAGAAATTGAGGAAAGTATGCTAAGCGAAGTAAGGCAAGCACAAAAGGACAAGTACAACACGAGTCTGCTGAGGTAAGCTTAAAAATGCAAAAGGAGCATAGGGGAAAAACTACTATATACATACATTCCTGGGGTGAGGTCCAGGTACTATGGCAGGGGCCAGACCCAATCCAGGGATACATATGGCATCCAACTGAAAAGGAGGGGAAAAGAAAGGGAAAAAAAACCCAAAACATGAGTAGCAGGGGAACCGGGCACTAACATACCAAAGGGGAGGACGTTGCTTATATCTCCACGGAAAGGGAAGAGCGACCAGACTTCAACCCAGTGTGCCAAGATGTGAATGCAACATACCGACATGAAACAGGGAACCAATAGAGGTCTGAGGAGCCAGCCCCAATCCCAACTACATGGACACACACACACCTCCCCTCCCAGAAGAATGCACTAGAGAGGACTGAAGCTAAAGCTTAGGGAGAGGGGCACGTCTGATCAGAGCACTCAGGACCAAACGAAGAGGGAAGGTGAGAGAGTGGAACACATCCTGGCCCACCAAACCCCAAGGATGATATTCCTGCTCAAAGCAGCCAATGCACAGAGAGGACCATAGGGCGACCCCACCATGAGACAAGACATCCTTCACTGACCTATATAACTATGAGGTCTTACACTGGAGGCACAGCGCAGGAATTGTGCCTGCTTTGACCCCACCACGTCGAGGTGAAATGCTAAGGGCATCGCGCAACAGAGCAGCAAGTGGAGCAAAGCAATGAAGTGCCTGGGGAATACCAAAATAGACTTTGGGGCCAGGGTATGGCACCACATCAGACTGGAGCAGAAAACACTTCTAAAGGTCAAAAACAAACCTGGAACTATTTATAGCCTTTTCTTTTTATGTCATTGTTTTTGTTTGGGGGTTTTTTTTGTTTTCTTTTGTTGTTTTGTTTTGCTCTGCCTTGTTTTTGTGCTTATTATTGTCTCTGCATGCCTATCTAGATAAGATAAGCAGGATAAACAATCCAGGGTAGAAAACAATGGGACCAATGGTTCCAGGGGGAAACAGGATACGGGAAGGTGGGGGAAAGGAAGTAGGTGTTAACAAATCAAGGGACAAGGGAAAAACAAGTGATCTAAAATAGCTAGTGAGGAGGGTGTAGGATGCCTGGTGGAGCTTGACCAAGTACAATGTAACCAAGAGGAATCACTAAAACCCGAATAAAGGCCAAACATGATATGGGGCAAGAGGAAAGTAAAATGAAATAAAGGAAAGAACTAGAAGGCAAAGAGCACCTATAGAGGACTAAATGCAGGCATGTACATATGTAAATATATTTCTATAGAACGATAGGGAAATAGATCTATGTGAATATATTTATATGTTAAGAATTAAGGTTGCAGATGGACATTGGGCCTCCACTCAAGTACTCCCTCAATGCAAGAACACTTTGTTCTAATAACCTGGCTTTCAATGATGCTCAGCTTCCCGACACAATCAAAGACAAAATGGGTACATAAGCAAATGTGGTGAAGAAAGCTTGGTGCCCAGCTATCAAAAGATATAGCATCTGGGGTCTTAAAGGCTTGAAGACAAACAAGCGTCCACCTAGCTGAGAAGCAAGAAAGCCCACATGGAAAAATCACACATGCCTGTATGATCATGAGGTGTCAATGGGATCAAGTATCAGGCATCAAAGACCCAGAACAAAATATCATGAATGAGGGGGAGTGCAGAGTGAAGACCCAAAACCCATCTGTGGACAATTGGACATCCCGGGAAGAGACGAGTATTAGTAGTTGGGAAATATGGACTTGGTCCTAGAAATAACTCTGGAGATATCAAATAATAGATTTTTGCAACACTAATGACTCCTTCATTGCAAATACCTTTTTCAGCAACATAAATAGCAACTATAGGAAGAGCCAAAATGTAACCTTAAGTATATTCCACCTGAATTTCAAGAACATCTAAGGATAGATTTGAATCGTTGAGCCCTAATAACAGAAGACCTGACAAGCTGTAGGATGACCTTGAGAACATAATATGTGAAGAAAGCAAAAGATCATTTAAAAGACAGGAGAGGGAAAAAGGCAAAAGTGAATGTCAAAAGAGACTCTGAAATTTGCTCTTGATTACAG